AGGGTAGGTGGCAACTCCTTAACTGATACCAGAGCATGACCTATCAGTTTTGTAAGTTAAACACAAACACCCTATTATGTGGAACCATGTACGTACTAAGAACAGTAATGAGATTTATTTTTAATATTTTGATATGAATTTAACCCCATCAGTCATGTTAAAAATGAATTCTGCATCAGCTGGTAAAGACCTTTTTTTGAGCAATATTTAAAAATCCAAGCAGGTAGTAGTTTTTTTTTAAGTAGAGAAATGTACAGTCTATTGTTGCTATTCCCTTTTTTCTCCCATTTTGGCCAGGTTAGAGGAAACGTGGGGGAACAAGTTATTACAATAGGTTAGCTTCTGTTCAGTGACCTAGGGAAAGCTGACCAGATGCCACCGGTCAAGTGTGCTGTCCTCTCCATTGATTTGGAGTTTTACTTCAGGTGGTTCCTTTTCTCAGGTGTTGAAAAAACTGATAGGTTCTCAAGTTCTCCTGGCTGACCAGTGAAGAGATGTGAAACCATCCCAGGACTAATTATCATCAATAATAAAAATCATTTGCTTATCCCTAGCTAGATTGTCGAAAAGAAAAGCAAGAACTGAGCCAACTGAACGGATTTCCATTGGTAATGGGCTTTTTATTTTTCATTTGGTCTTTTTAAAAATATTACTTGATTTCAGATTGCCTTCTTGCTTGCTACAAGTGTAGTCTAGATGGTCTACTTGAGATTGGCGCATGTATAAAGGAGAGATCTTCTGAATCAGTATTTGCTGAGCTGGAGCGGAAAAAAAATTAACTCATCTTCCCAATATGCTAGGCCAAACTCCCTCCCCCCCCCCACCCCCCACCCCGCCAATCCACTGTATCTACCAAATGAAACTTCCTTCTTAGTTATTGATGGGTTTTTGCCTATTGGCCTAGCTTATAAGTAAACCGTTCTGGATGTCTGAAAAACTACAGAACCTTCACTGTATTTCAATGCTGTTTCTACACCAAACCTTTTGCTTTGCAGATGACTGTCCTTTCCACCCTGGAGACAGACAGTGGTATCATTGTGGATCCCTTTGAAGATCCTTGCACTTGAGTTCTTAAGACCATGGCATTTAGTCCTTGTGACTGGTACCATCTGGCTTTCAGATCAGTCTCTAGCAAGTAGCTGAAACCCCCTTGGCTATCGAAGGGATTTAATGTGTTGATTTGAAAAGACTAATTGTAGTTTTGCATAGTTGCACTACAAGAAGAAAAGATGAATTGTGAGCCTAGATATCGACTCACCTCCCTTCCCAACCTTCCTAACCTGACAAGTAGCTATACAGAAATGAGATCTCTTGGCTGTCAGTGGAATATTGTTGAAGCACAAATGAAGATCTAACATCTGCCTCAAATCAGTTACTTGCAGTGCTGTGAGTTGAATGGCACTTTGGTCCATGTAGAAACTTTCAAAATTACAGCACCTAGATCAGAGGAGGCAGAGGCTATTATAATGAGGCTGGTCCCTGTCCCACATTTAAAACAAACAAAAACCAAAAGTGTGTATGGGGTAGTGCAGAATAATAATTGTTCAAAGAGTCCAACTTAACCATGCATTCTCTGCCCAATGCTCTTAGAACTGTGAAGGCGCAATTCTAGCACTCCTGCCCTTTATTCACATCCATCCACCCACCTTCCCCACCCTGTCCCTCTCTCTCTTTACAAACACTTTATTCTCTATACTGTACCAGGCCTACATTAGATGCTGGGAATGTAGCCAAACACTATGAATTGCACTTGTCTCTGTATATCTTATGAACACAGCAAGTTTTTGGAGCAAAAGGTAAGCCCTTTCAATGCTAAATTGCTTAAAGACATTGTATTCTGAAAAGCAAAAGCCCTCTCCCCCACCTTGCCCAGATTGCTTTTCATTGATTGCTTAAGGTTGCCCTTCAGTCTGGAGTGGCCTCTTTCCTAACAAAATAAGCTGTTTCTGAGAAATGAGAAACCAGTTCACCGGGCCTATACTTTTCTGCTACTCTGCTGTTGTGTAACACATTAAGATCAACACTTCTGGCATTTGATAGGCTATGAAGATTGTACTTTATAGTCAAGACAAAGGGAGAGGTTTTTCCCAGTTCACCCTTAACTCAGAAGCTCCTGGAAACTAAAAATGAATTGTGAGCGCTGCCCAAATTTCTCTGGTAAGATATTCTTGGTTAACTCTTATTACACTTTTCAATAATAAAGGGCTTGCAAGACAAGAGGTCTCTATCCTACACCTGGGTCTTAGGCATATTGGTACATCATAGAACCCATAAACTCATGGTGAGTGAAAGCTTTAATTCCTTGATGCAATCTATGCTATATAAGCATGTACTTCATCTTTTCTGTCTTAATGAATTTGGTCAAATCCAGCAAGATTTGGGGGGTTGGCTATTTTCAAGTATTCTCAATCGCATTTCTAGGTTATTTTGCACGACTAGACAACTGACAAAAATTATGATTAGTTTTGTAAAACTGGTTTTGTTTCTGATTTTGGTAGGAGATCTGTCGTCACAATCTGCACCATACCATGGCAGATCTTGGGCATTTCCCCTCAGTCCCAGATACATACACAGGTCTCCTGTGCTTAAATGTGAATTTATAACTGCAAATGATGTTAATGTTTAACAAGAGACAAGTGTTCAACTCCTCACTCTCCTACAGTCAGCCCAAGTGACTCAATTTCTCCCAGATACTTAAAAAGATGTTTTATTTTCCTTGAGGCACCACCTAGTGGCCAAAGCTCAAAACATTTAATAACAGGAAGAGGAGACATTCTATTAACAATTTAAAGGCTAATTTCAAGAATTTTGAGGTTTCAGAAGTAATTACATTAGACAACGCTTTGTGTTATCAAATATAAAGGGCAAAGGTTTGAGTTAGAAATTGAGCCTTATTAATTCTTAGCTATGTGGCATTAGATAATTCTCTAACCCTCAACTTGCTAATGCAGACCAGGGGTAGGAGTTTTCAGGATGGTTGTGAGACCATCTGGCATAGTATCTTCCCTTTCCACCTGAAAATGTACAAACTACCTTTAGGACAAAGACAAGCTCCTTACCATGTTGGCCTAGCATCAGCAGTCACATTAAGTGAAAGGCCAGTGTTGCTCTGGGCAGTAATGTTCAAGCACGACTTACTTTCTTATTTCAGGAACTCCAGAATGAGTAAATTAGGAAGCTTGAAAATCCAGGTATGTAGAGTACAGTGGACACACATATGTTGTTTCTAACAGAAGAAAATAAATACTACCTGGGGGACAGACACCAATGTCTTAATTCCAACAGTGGAGATGTTAAGCTCCGTCTCATCAGCTCAACTGAGTGAAGAGCTATGCTCTAGCTTCCTTCAAACCAAAGGCAGTGTCAGCAACACTTGAGGCAAATTGGTTTTACCTTTTTACTGGCATTTGGGAACACTCCCCATTCCCAGCCTTCCCCCTCCCCCACACTAATACATCATCTGTGGAAAAAACATTCAATTCTCCACAGATAACTTTATACTCTCAAATTGAACAAAAAATAGCTTCTTCGCTATAGTCTGAATTTCAAGAGGTAGAGCATTCACTTTAACTTTTTCTGTTAAATGAAAGATTGGATAATTTATACCTATTTATTCCCTTGCCTTTGTGGAGGTTTCATGGAATGATAGGCTTTCTAACCACGTGGAGATACCAATTACCCATAAAACTCAAGTTTCCAAATACTGAAAGAATAATTTGTGATGTGATGCCAAGATTTAAGACAAGTAACTCGGGACAGAGTAATGAGCAGGAACATATTCAATGAAAAACTCCATGCTGTTCAAGAATATTGTGCTTTTTCTGTCTCGATCCATGAGTTTAGGCTCCTCAGAGCCAAGAACCCATGGTAGCTCAGGTCTCTGGAACAGTGAACTGAAAAGGGTGCTCAGGAAGGTCTGGTCCCCTAAGTACCTTCATTTAATTGAACTATGGGCTAAATAGCTTTGAAGCATGAAAGCTGGCAGCCCAACCATCCCAACTCAGTTTTCCAGAACTACCATGTTCTGGGGCACCTGGGTGGCTCAGTCAGTTAAGTGTCTGACTTTGGCTCAGTTTATGATCTCTCGATTCATGAGTTCGAGCCCCACGTTGGGCTCTGTGCTGACGGCTCAGAGCCTGTAGCCTGCTTTGAATTCTGTGTCTCCCTCTCTCTCTGCTGTCCTGCTTGTGTGCACTCTCTCTCCAAAATATTTTAAAAAACACTTTTTTTTTTTTAGAAACAATACTATGTTCCAAACTGATTTATCAGTTTTTGGTAAGATTAGAAAACCTCAAAGTCAACTAATTAAAATCTTATTGCCCTCTTATATTCAATCTGTAGTGGCTGGACTAGAAATATTCTAATGTTAGACTCAGTTTCATCCCTAGTTTGAACATCTGTTAAATGGAGGTAGGGGGGATTAAGTGCCATTTATTTAACAGAAATGGTGAACATGTGTAGTTGTAAATTTCTTAGAGCTCCCCAATGCAGGAGAATTAACAGACCAGATGAAAATTAGGGTAAGTGATTTTTTACAATGTGTATCTACAAAGCCAATCTCTTGCTATCTTCACCCATAAATAGTTCATGTTTTTAAAACTTCCCTCCCACTGCCTGTACTTACACGGAAGTAAAAGTTTCCCATTTGAATGGATTGCAAGGTTGTGCAGGCAGTCAAACCTTAGTAATTTCAAAGAAGTCAAGTGGTGACCTAAGAATACTCTTGCTCTGCTAAACAGAATGAAACCAGTGGGCTAAAAATGATGTCATCCAGACATGGGTGCTCTCACAAACCATTCCATCAAATGAAAATTTACTATTTGGAAGGTAAGAAAAAGAGATAATAGAAAAATTCTTTACGTCAAAACCTACATTCCTCAGTCACATTTAAATCCTGTTTTATTTTCTGTGAGCATATATTTGGGATTTTTATCCCAATACCAGTGTCTAAGCAATCAGGAACTTGTACCTCTTCACAAGCAGAAAAAAAGTTAAAGATACAAAGGTTAAGGACAACTTTTATTGCTACCAGAGGCTTTTTATCATCAGCACATGGTTCTGACTGCAATACCTTCTTCAGACTGAACAGGGAGCTGAGGATCCAAAAGTCATTAAGAGAAATACAGGGAGGGTGAATAACTTCCATCAAGAAAATCCTAATAGCTTAACATAAATCTAGGGCACTGAATTCAGTTATTACATGTTATAGACCCAAATCATAGAGCTGCCCCGACATCCAGACAGTCTCTCCTACTGATTACAAATGAATGAAAACTGATCAGTTACCAAAAAAAAAAAAATCTTAGTTGGTACATGTTTCTTTGGTGAGCACCTGGATACATTAACTTTATCACAAATTCTTTTATATAAATTTCAAAAATGCTTTCAACAAATCTAACCATATCCTAATTACATGCCACTTTTAAGCTTCAACTTAAGAAAAACAAAAATAAAACAATAATTTTGTTTCCAGACTCCAGGAATTGAAATAAGAAACACAAAATCAATGTGGTAATGTCAGTCCTTTTTCTATTACCACTTCTCATTCATATGGGGCAATTTTAAAGTACCCTTTTGGGATTAATTTGAATCATGGATCAAACATGGCTGTCACACTGAAATGAATTTATTCACTAAATTGCTAAAAAATAATTTTGAGGGTTTCCTAATCAGTGGAAGTCAGGCTATAGATCAACATGCATAAAGTTCATTTAGTATTCAATAAACAAGCAAGCAAAAATGAGGAAAATTAAATCAGGATGCTGGTGACAGAGTGTGCTAGCTATGAATTTTGGAACTTAAAACACTTGAATATAAATTTTTGACATGGGGTCAATCTCCATTACATCTTAGCAGAGAAAAGAATGAAACTGACAAATACTAAAAAAAATTTAACTTAAAAAGAAAATTTGATCTTTTTTGAAGTTTCTAACTTTTTTGGTCTTTAAATGCTTAAATAATGTTGATTATAATTTGCTACCCAAGTAAATGGGTTTTTTTCTGGCTCACTTCAAATCGGCCTGATAAGGTATATAACTTTATAGAACCTTTCCTGGTTTTCCATGTTCCTAATTCCCAGAGTAGTCTGCCTTAGTTTGCACTTGAAGGTAACACTTGAAGCTACATGACAGAAACTGGCTGCAAAGGTGGACAAGGAGAAGCATGTCCCTCTTGCCTTGACAGATCAGTGCCACAAACAGAACCCACACTTTCTGAAGCATTATCTTCATTATAGAGCCGTTTGATTCCATCATAGAAGTCATCCACTTCCATTTCCTCTACTTTGCGTTTAGCAGAGGTATGCTTGCACCCACTGGCAGCTGGGAGATGATGGTAGAAGGCTGCTGCACCTCTGACTGGCACTTCTGGTTTGCTGTTGTCCTTGGAGAAATCTAAATCTGGGCCTGGGACAGAGGAGGGATGTAATCTGAACACTCCTTTGTCACAGGTCACCAGGGTGTGCTTGAGGGGACGGTAGACATAAACGGAATTTAGAGGCAGGGAAGACTGCAGAGAAGAAAGGTGATGTGCCACAAGCTCCCGACAGTGGATCAGCTGGGAGCTAGCCATCTGGGCCAGGAAAAAAAAAAACAAAGGTTGATCATTTAATTAATATGCTGGCAGCTTTTCCTCACTGCGCCCTCTGTCCTCCCCAGCTTTGTCTCTCCCCACATCTACTTGAAATTCAGCTATTCCTCCAGTCTACCCATCATCTTCTTAGGGATTATGACCAAATCTGTACTTCTAATGGAAGTCTCTTTGGAACTTTAATTCTGTAACTGCAATTATATGCAACATCTTCATGAAAACAGAAACTATTCTCTTTTGTTCACTGTGTATATGCAATGTCCAGTCTTGTCCAGTGTATTCCTCTTGTCTACAGGGCCCTTCACTCCACCCTCTGCCACTTCCAATCTCTTCATGAGGACCAAGGAACAGATAAACATAAAATTCATTAAAAATTTAAGGAAAAAACCAGAGGCACAAAAAAATTTAAGCAAGGGATGGGGAAGATCATCTAGCTAAGAATTTAGAACAATTTAAGTATTTTGTTTAAAACAGCAAATGAGAACTTCTGACAAATTATATTTTTGTAGAAATTAGCAGGCTTGACAACTTTAAGAAGAAATGTTTTTAATTTGGGGTTTGACTAATTTCTTCTTAACCTTCAGGATAGTTCAGGTATCCTTTCTGAAGCTACCCTTAACTCCTCTTGCCACCACACACCCAAATTCCAGGGCCATCTATATCTATTTCAACCTGTCATTATACACCACATCGTATTAAAATAATCCATTAAACATTTACTTTTTCCATTACAGACTATAAGCCCCCAAAAGGCAGCCATTGTATCATATTCATTTCTATTCCCAAACTTTCTCTTCTAGCACAGTGACTGTAATAGGAGGCTTTCAAGGAGTCCAATTAGTCTCTCTGTCCTCCTTTCCCTGTAATTATAGCTCTAGTTAAAATAATCTTCCTCTAGGCAACATACATTTCTTCCCCTATTCAATTTTTTTAGCGGCACCCCAATGCCTACCAGAAATAAGCTAACCTCTTTAGCTTGGTATAAAGGCTCTCTACAATCTGACCCCAACCCTCTTTTTCAGTCTTATTCCCTGACTTATCCCAATTTCTGCCAAACAGGCCTGCTTTCTCTATTCTGTGTAAATCTTGCCCTTTCTTACTTTATCCTTGCTCATCCTGTTTCTACCTGTTAAAACTGGATTACCAATTCCATCCAGACCTGCTAACTGCCACCACCTCCAGGAAGCCTATTTAAACTATTAACTATCAGGGTCACTTTCTAGTCTTGTATATTTTACAAGTATTTTTGGACATTTCTTAACCACATCTTATTTATACCTATGTAACCTGCAGTACACAGCATAACTATGTGAAATACCAGAGAGAAAATAAAGTAATATGGTCTGCGATAACAGAAACATATTTGGTCACAATACTATTTTTATCGGTAAGAATATTATTTGTTATGCAGGAAAGCATCAGTGGAAAGAAGAAATCAACAGCAGGTGTTATCACAGTACAAATGTTAAAATGCCTAAAACTGTCAGAAATAATACACGAAAATGACCACTTTTAATATCTACCGTTTTGTTCACTAAATTTTTTCCTAGTTTAAAAGACACTAGGTAACACCTTAAGGGCAAAATACTATTAACTAGTCTTAGAATTTCTTTTCTTCCCTTAAAAGAATTTATAATACTTAAAGATAGTCCCCAACTATTAAGCTTACAACCATAGGCTAGGGCTTATCATGTCTCAGGGATGCAGAACAAGCTGAGTCATGCTAAGAACAGTGGAACAAAAAACACAGAAGAGGAATGGGGCTTTAAAAGTTCTTTAAAGAAAGAGGTACCCTAGCCAATGCTTTAAGAAGCCCACAAAAGAGTGGTAACAGAAATGAAAGACACAAATTGGGAAGTGAAAAAAGGGCTAGAGTATAATATTGTTCTTTAGCAAATGACTAATGCTCAGGGGCCCACAAAAGTATCATAAATACTCTAATGCCTTGGCCACGGGACATAATACCACAGCAGAATCCTGAAAAGTAGAGTTCATATAGATGCCACTGGTTTGAAAAAAGACATGTATTTCAAGTAAAAGGAAGACTATGCCACTATAATCTTTCTCTGTGAAAAAATTAATAGATTTTAATAGAACGTTAGACAGTTGACCCTTGAACAACATGGGGCAGTTATGGGCACCAACCCCCAAAGTTGAAAATCTGCATCTAACTTTCAACTCCCCAAAACTTTATTAATAGCCTACTGTTGACCAGAAGCCTTACCAATAACATAAATAGTTGATAAGCACACATTTTGTGTATGCATTATACACTTACAATAAAGATGGAGAAAAGAAAATGTTAAGGAAATCGTAAGACATATTTATAAAAGCATACTGTAAAAAAATCCATTTATAACTGGACCCATGCAGTTCAAACCTGTGTTGTTCAAGAGTCAACTGTATTTTAGAAAATGACAGAGCTAGAAAGACATTATTCAAATCAATACCATCTATATGAATTCTTTCATCCAACTAAATCCTTTTTCCAAAATAACATATCAAAAGAAATTCCTTCTAATTTACTACCTGAATTTGTTCTACTTAAGAGTATGACCCTTGCTGAGATCCAGTGGAGGAAACAAAACAAGCACATAAACTGGAATTACTACAACTTCATACACCAGACAAGTCCTCTAATGAAACTGTTTTAAAGTGAACTCATTCTAATTGTAGGATGTTAAGAGAACATCTATTGTTATTTTTCATGACTACGTTCACAGACTTCAAATACGGTAAACATTTTTAAGTATCGCTTGCTAAGGAAACAAACACAACTGTAATGTTGCTCACCAAGGAAGGTGGAGCAATTATAGGGCAGACATCCAGATGGGAAAGGGGCGAAGAATACCATCACATAAATGATAGGTTCTGAAGGACCCATGTTTGGTGGACAGCATGAAGGACTGAAAACATCTGCTGCAGCAGTCTGATCTTAGGCACCTTAAAGAAGAACTGGGAGATCCTGGTGAGGAAGACCTGCTTCTTTAACTCCCTACTCTAGTTAAAAAAAAAAAAAAATTATTTTTTTATTATTTATTTTTTTTTTTTTTTTGAGAGAGAGAGAGAGAGAGAGAGAAACACAGAATCTGAAGCAGGCTCCAGGGCCTGAGCTGTCAGCACAGAGCCTGACACCAGGCTCCAACCCACAAATCACAAGATCATGACCCGGGCTAAAAGCTGGACCCTCAACCAACTTAGCCACCCAGGCACCACATAACTCCCTCCTCTAGTTTTAAACTACTGGAGAGAACATCAACTGTGACTACTGCTTGGCTAGGGACTAGGAAGACCACCACACTCTTTCAGCAAAGTTAACATCCTGAGATTCTCAAAGGTGGGCCACATCAGTCAGAAAGAGGAAGATGTGAGTACAGCTACAGAAGTAGGGCAATGAAAAAAGGGGTAAGAGAAAGAGGTTTGGCCATCTCAAAATGGCGACCAACATGTAGCTAAGAGGCAGGGATGGTCAACTAGGAGGGAACTGGGAGGTCAACTAGGCTTGCCTTTCAAACCAGGGAAACTTTGTCTGAATTCCAGAGGGAACAAAGGCAGAGCCAGTGACAGTGGCTCCCACACAGCATGAGGTATTTAGGATAAAAATCAGCAGTCCTCTCAAACCAGGATACTGGGAAACATGTTATAAGTAATTCTGGCATGGTCTCACCAATACTCCACAAAAATTTCCTATACTAGACCCAAGAATCCAGGAGGAATATTTATTTGAACACATCTAATTACAAAGATATTAGACCTCGTATTCCTACCTAAACACAAATGAACTTAGCAAACATAGCACTGAGCCTTCAAGAATCCAGATCCACCAGGTTTAGGCCACATATGTTGGCTATCAGTCCCAGCTGGTTTTAGAGAACTGTTAAGACCAAGTACCAAAATCTCAAGTGCTGTGACATTGTTTTTATCTTCTCCATTAGAATTTGAATACTACACGGGGCAGAACCTTTTTTTTTGTTTTTTTACAACCACTGTATTCCCAGTGCCCAGATCACAGATTTTCCAGTAAAAGTTTGTGGAATAGAACTATTTATGTATGTGTAAGAAAATTAAACACTGGTTTTCAAACTATATCCAAACAATATGCAGAAGGGAAGGGGCCATGTTCAGACTCTGCATCCAACAGTTCTCTGCCCCAAATACATATTACAAAGAAATACTTTCCTACCTTACATTCTGGGATTGTGTGTGTACAAGATTTTACTGGAGTCAAGGGAAGGATTCCAGTTCTAAAAGAAATGCTGAAAACCACTGAACTAAATCTTTAAGGTTTGTATGGACAAAGCATTGGTCCTTTACGAAGTAGTCCTGTGGGTCTCTGAGAAAGTACCAAGTACCCTGAACTGCAGATTTAAAATAAAGGAGTTGAATGGAATTTCTAAGAAGATCCCTTCAAATTCCAAGAATTCCAAGTCTATAATACTACTTCAGTAAAAAAGGAACAAGTTTCAATGAACATTTTCTTAACACAAAACACCAGAAGACTTATGAAAGAGAATAAGATAAGCTTATTTTCCAGTGTTTTTTAGAAACAAACTCTCAAAGCTACAGAATACATATGCTATTTATAACATTCTTATTATTTATGCTTCAAAGTCCGTCCTTTCTTTGTGACAGTAACAGTTCATATAACAACTTTTCCTGTACTAGCTTTGGGAATTAGCACAGAGATCAAGTCACAGCATTTAAAGATGTCATTTGTCCCAATAAAAAAATGAAAAATGAAATGTAGAGGTTTTCTATTAATGTCCCATACCCCACTTCCATAGTCTAATGTAAATGACTAACATTCAACTTCACTTTCCAATACAATAGATAAGCAAAGTAAATTTCCTGTACCACACTATTCTCTTCTATGATTTGTGATAGTTTCTAAAAATTCTCACTAAATATCAACTATCTCCTAGAATCTACTTTCACTATAGCATTTATTTCAATGGAAAAAAATACTTTTCAATTATAACAATCTAAGGTACGCTAGAAGAACTTATCTCACGGTGCCTGGGTGGCTCAATCGGTTAAGCGTCCGACTTCAGCTCAGGTCACGATCTCATAAGTTCATGGTTCGAGCCCCATGTCGGGCTCTGTGCTGACAAACAGCTCAGGGCCTGGAGCCTGCTACAGATTCTGTGTCTCCCTCTCTCTCTGTCCCTCCCCTGCTCACGCTCTGTCTCTGTCTCTCTCTCTCTCAAAAATAAACAAACGTTAAAAAAAAAAAAATTGAAGAAAAAAAAATTTCTCTCCTGTAAAGGAGAAACAGCCTGTGTTTCTAACTAACATCATATGCCTATCTATCCCAGGGATATAGAACAAGCTGACCCATGCTAAAAACTAAACAAAACAAAAGAGGAATGGGCCTCTAGCTAATATACTGTGTTGATCACCAACCTTTTATGAAAAGACCCTCAATCCTTCTCTGCTCACAGACTAGGGCCTAAAATTTTCAGAGCTAAGAGGTAGCACTGAGGTATTTCTATGTCTGTTAACTTTTACAGTTCATATCTATGACATCAATTATAAGCATCTTACAAAACGCCAAATTCAAGTATTATTCTCATTTTTCTTTAATAGTATTCTAAGTTTTATTAGTTCAATAACTGAAGCTCTTTGCTAAGACTAGTTTTTTTATTATAAAATATAATTACTTTAACTCAGAATTTAAGTCTCTTCTCTAAATAAAATCCAATAAAATATATCAGAATAACTACTACCAAATAAGAATAAATAAGGACATATAAAGGGAAAGTGAATTCATAAGTCTTTTATGGACTCAGTTGGCAGAGGAGTATGGTTTGCAGATCTAAACTTTACATTCTATTGGGTGACATAAGATTATTCAAAGCATTTGCTAACATATAGTACCATTACTAACTATCCATTTGAGAATTTTCTCCATTAAAACTCTTACATTTTATATAGATAGTTGACAAAAAATTTAACTGGCCTGTAAAATTTTATACCAATTTGCAGATAGAAGTGATTGACTGATTTTAGGCAATAATAGGAACTACCAGGACAAAACCTCTTTCAGAAAGTTAGCTTCTACTTGACAAAGTCTAGTACAAATACTTCACTTTCTAGTCAATTATTTGCTTGTCTAAAAAGCAAACTTCTTGCCATTTATGTTTTTGATTTTTACAAAATAAGCGAAGTATAGAAGTACTATGGTGAAACCTACAAATATAGCTAAGAAGGTTCTTCGTACAAAACTAAAGGACAATATATTATAGAGATTCTTATTAATTTGTCAAGATTCTTAAAAATTTAAGTAACTTAGAAGGGTTGAAAAGAAGCAAAAAAAAGACTAAGCTTTACAAGAGAAGAAAGTTCACCTAGCCCGTAAGTTTGAAGTATGTATTACTTTACTCTTGTCTCCTCTTAAAAGCAGTTTGCCATTATAAGATTAGAAATGTCTCTTAGTTTTATAGTCATCTAGCAACCCTACGTATCCCAATGAGAGATGAACTTAAAATGAACACTTAATTTGATTGGCACCTACCTGTGCTTTCTGAAGCAGTTCAATTGTAAGAGGAAGCCAATCAGGAATAAGTTTCTCCATTTCCAAACTAACCATGGCCAGAGCAAGCATGGATCCTTTGAATTGCAGAAGTTGGTTGCAGGCCATACAATGAAGGAGTTGCTTGGTAAGGACTGCCAAATGTTGAGATGGGCTCAGTTTGGGCAAACTGAAAAGTAACTGAGGCCTAGCTGACACTGCAATGGCATGGAACTGAAAAGAAATCGTAAGAACATCATACTAGTTTTATTTTAAGTTTTAGGTAAATTATGCACAGAAACTGATATAACCTCAGGTGTATTACTCAATTTCTTAAGTCTGTAGTTTTAGTTTCATGTTAATTTGACATATATGTTAATTTCCCAGTTTTCCTTGGTTATCTATAATTTTTCTTTTCCTAAAAATCACAACAACAAAAAAAAATGAGTGGGCAATCTACTTTCTAGGTTACTAAAACAAGACTACATATTCAAATAAAAATCTGAGAGAATCAGGTATACTTACAATGTGAAGAAAATCCAATGGCGTAGCTGTGTGAAGATCCCAATTCAACTTATCCAGAATAATTCTCTCCATCCTCAGAATTTCAGATGAAGAACATCCACAGAAACTGTCTCTTGCCAACACCTTTAATACTGGAATTCTCTGTCAAAAGCAAAGAGGAACACGGCAGGGCAAGAGGACAGAAAAAAATAAGCTAATTTTCTATTTTTGTTCAGATAAATAGAAAGCAAGCTAATAAATGGAGAGAAATTTTCAAGAAAAAGACATAACTAATCTTTAAAGGAAAATATTTACCTCATCCTCCTCAACAGTCTTGGCAGCTAGGAAAAAACAGCTGATTGCAATACAACTCAAGTATTTTGGGTGGGCCTAAAATTTTGAAGAGGAGAAAAAAGCAACTTCAGTGATTTTTCAAAAAGTTGTAAGAGTTTGTTAAAAAAAAAAAACAAACAAACAAAACTAGATATACAGGTGAGACAGTATGCACAAAATTCTAGGAATAATTAATCTGATTCCCACCCATTGTTTTCTAAGACCAGGACCAACTTTTTTAAGTTCACAACCCTAGCCATATTATATTCTATGAAAATACTATACTACATTGCTAAAAATTCAACCAATGCTAGTTAGCTAAAGTTAAATTTCTATCCAGCAAAAAAAAATTTAATTTTAGAAGACAATTTTTATTTAATAAAGTTCCAAAAATTAACTCTTTGTACATGTGTGTATTTTTTGAGCTAATTTTAATCTTACTCTCTTTACCTGTCACGTCAGTAATACTAACTACTAGACGTTAGGAGAATTAAACCGAAAGAATATAAAAAAAAAGACTATAAACACATTCCAAATGCTTTAAAAATTAAGGTTGGCAGATGAATAGAAATTTTCTAATTAAGTGTCCACAAAAACAAGTGTGTATTGTGTGTATATATACATATATACATATTCATATATTCATATGTATATGCATCATATACATATATACATATACATATATTCAAGTTCCATAAGAAAGGTTCCTAAATACATACAGAATCAATTAGTAGGGGGGAAATCTTTCTAAAGGGTTTAACACACATAGGAGGGCTTGAATTTGCCTGTTTTACTGATCTATGACAAGGTAGGCCTACTTTCTATCTTATTGGTAGTATAAGAGTTTGCCAACCCAGCATCAGAATACAGTTTCAAATAACCAGGACAATTAAGTCCAATTATACTGAATGACATAGAAGTTATGTAACATAAATAAGCCCTGTTTTGACATTTATTTTATACTCAAATATTACATTCCTGTGAAATTATGGAAATCTTCAGGTAACCTGATGCAGCTTTGATTAACTTATTTAATAAACACGCCAGTGACCACTGCCTTAAAGTGGCATACTGTCTAGAACCTTCTAGTCCTCTGCCTACATGAAAAATAACAGCTGGTTCAAAACTATCAACATTTTCAGACAACCATTAATATTAATCAGAATATTATGATTTAGAAAGCACTTCCAAAAATATTGTCATGTCTATTATGTCTCAGCAGTTAAGGGACATCACACAAGCGATATAGGAAGTGAAGGCAGATCTTGTAGCTAAGACCATTTTCCAGGCTCCCTTATCTCCCCAAGTATACAACAGACCAAATCCTTGAGGTAATCAGAGTTCACTATAAAGAAGAGCCCAACAGTTAACAACTTTAGGTTAGGTAATGCAACCCTTAAATCAAGGGCACCAATAAATTTTATAATAAAAAGAATCCCAATAGCAAGTGTGATTTTTTTTTTTTTAAAGAAACAGTAGTTCTCATTCCTGGATGTACATCAGAATCATCTGTGCAGTTTGTTTTGTTTCTTTAAATACAGACATCCAGATATCACCAACTAGAGATTCAGATTCAGAAGCTAAATAGGGCTCAGGGTTCATACTTGTTTAAAAAATTTAAGTTTCTTTAAGTAATCTCTACACCCAAAGTAGGGCTCAAACTCATAACCCCAAGATCAAGAGCTGCACACTCTTCCAACTGAGCCAGTCAGGTGCCCCATCAGGGTCCATACTTTTCAAGAGCTACGTAGCATTTTCTTCTGCACAGCTAGGATTGAGGCTCCATTCATTGCTGCAACCTTGTATGGTCTGCTTTTATTTAAAACATGAATACATATTTCAACACAGATTAACCATCTAAGAGAATCTTATGCTAATAACATGACAGGACCCATTAAATAAGAAACATGAAAATAATGACATTATACTTGGCAACATTCTCTCACTGATCCAGAAACTCCCCCAAATTTGTTTAAAATGTTCAATAATAAGGTAAGAACCTTTTCTGTGACAGAAGCTACAATAAGGTTATTAATAATTTGTGAAGAACATAAAAATCAAGAAAGGACACTATCTTTCTCTGTAAGGGAGGTTAGCTATAGTAGGGGGAATGTGAGGGGGGGGGACTTGATACAGAGATAAAAGTAGACATCTCAGATTACCTACATTTCAGGCAATTAGTATCATTATAATTAAAAATTCTTTAAGTCTCTTAAGAGTACAAGTGTGAAACTTTATAAAAAGGTAACTGAGTGGCCATCCAAATTCTTCCACTGGCTTCTATTTTTTATAACAAAGAGTACAGCATCCCCGACACTGAATTCGTAGTTCCCTCAGCTTACATATTCCTAGGCATACAAATGACAACAAATGATTTACTCTTCTACTTTTTCATGCCTTGCCATTAAATGAATGCTGTATTTCTGATTTAAATCAATTGAGGGCCTACTATGACAAATTTCACATAATATAGCCAATGATATATTACACCAACAGGGACAATATAAATTTCTTTATGTATTTTTGTATGCTGTCATTCAACAAAAATATAACAAACTTATTTTACGTTGTTCATCTTGTTATACTCCAAATGTATGCCTCTAGAATGTATTTATATATTTTCAAAACACTACACAATATGGATATTCAATAAATAAAGAAAAAAATGTGCAATAGGCTTACACTTTTCTAGTCTAGTTCACTGTCCACTTCTAGTACACCAATGTGTTAAAAGACAACGTTCTGCTGATATACGGTATTTAAAATCAGGAAATCAAAAATTTCACAGGTTAAGTATAAGTTATGAATACTTGTAGCAAAAAGAAAATTACAGAATACAATTAGAAATATTTCCAAAAATTTAAAGCAATGGCAAAAAACATCATGTCTTAATAGGCACATATACCATTTCCAGGAAGGTTTTCCAATCTTTTTCACTTTCCAGAATGTTTACTAATTGCCCCTGGTTTAGCATATAAACCCTCAAACAAGAGGTTGTGTTTAACTGTATCCTAAAATATTTACCTTTACAGTAGCTAAAAACCTGTCCAAAAGACTGCTAGCCAAAGCAAATGTTTCTGGGTAAAGGTTGAATTGGTACTTGAGTTTGGCCAGCCACTGAATCACTTCATCTCTCTGGGATGGAGAAACATTCTATAAGGGAACAAGTAAAAGAGAAAGAGAAAAAAAAAAAAAAAGAGAGAGAGAGAGAGAGAACAAGTGAAGTTCCAAGTTACCATCAAGAATGAATTCTCTCTTATAAAAGGTTAGCAAATGCAATGGAATACATTTAGATGTTAAAAATGTTAACTTTACTCAAAATCTATCAAGCTTGAGATGAATGAAGATAAAATGTTATTTACTGATCATAGCATTTATTATCAATATCCACCAGTCTCTTTTTCTTTATTAAATAATCTTCATTATGTCATTTCACCATATACTTATACTTCAATTAATCTAAGGTGTTCAGGGAATATATAAGACTTTAAAAGTTTAGGTATCACTATTATCAACTGATAGTAACTTTGGAATTAAGTTTCCCAATTCTAGAGAATAAGAAAATACAGGGAATTTCTTTCTAAGGCAGCAAATAGCCATTAAACCATCTTAGGAAATACAAATGGAGTATGGTAATAGGATAATAGCCCATTAAAATTAAAACTAAAATCAACAAGAATAAATGAAAGATACCAGTGACAACAAATGAATTACAAATTTAAAGATCACAGAAGAATACTGAAGAGAAAATCACCTGAACTAATTTACCAATGGAGATACTACTATACAAACATATAATGTTAATGCTTCCTATATATTATTTTAAACTGCTTTATAGGCTTAATTTTTAGATGGTATACACTTTAAAGTAATTATTAGATAACTTTACCCTTGAGTTTTTCAGGCCCCACAAAAAAAAATAAATAAAACCTAATACTTATAATAAACGAAATAGATCTGTAAGTACTACTTCTGCCAGGTAAACACAACAAAGTACAGAAATGACTGTGATTAGTGGAAAAAAGTATTTTTAGTAAGTGAGGGTTCCAGACAAGTAAAGGTTTAATCCTTAACCCAGGTTATAAAGCACTGCAGTCTTTATAATCATAACCATTTTACATGGAAAGCTTTTAAAATATATTATTTATCTAATTCCTTAGAAAGTAGAGAGGTCATAGCTTAAACCTTTTTCCTGATTACTCTGGGTCAATTTTATGAAATTAATTCTTATAGCACAGAAAGATACATTAAGAGCTATTAAAACATGGAGGGCTGGGGTGCCTGGGTGGCTGAGTCAGTTGAGCGTCTGACTTCGGCTCAGGTCATGATCTTGGCAGTTTGTGAATTTGAGCCCCACTTCGGGCTCTGTGGTAACAGCTCAGAGCCTGGAGCCTGCTTTGGATTCTGTGTCTCCTCCTCTGTCTGCCCCTCCTATGCTCATGCTCTGTCTCTCTCTGTCTCTCAATAATAAATAAACATTAAAAAAAATTTTTTTTTTTTTTTTAAAACATAGAGGGCTGTATATCTTAACAACTTTATCTCCTCCAAGTTTAAGTTGGAATTTCTCTCTCTCCCTCCTCCTGGCTTTCTTTAGTCTTGTGAGAAATACATGACTTGGTGCTCATTAAAATCTCTGCCATTGAACTGGCTAGCCAATTTCTCATTTTTTTTTCCAACTTCTCTGTCACTTTTCACTTTGGCACAACATAGTAAAGTGTTTCTTAGTGTGGGTCAAACCAACTAATCACACTTATTATCATTTTTACATCTAACTCTAAACCCAGTTTTAACTGGTATTTTAGAAGATTAACTGCCATATCTACCTACTGGTCAACTCCTTTTGTCAATAAAGAATGACCCTAGGGGCGCCTGGGTGGCGGAGTCGGTTAAGCGTCCGACTTCAGCCAGGTCACGATCTCGCGGTCCATGAGTTCGAGCCCCGCGTCAGGCTCTGGGCTGATGGCTCAGAGCCTGGAGCCTGTTTCCGATTCTGTGTCTCCCTCTCTCTCTGCCCCTCCCCCGTTCATGCTCTGTATCTCTCTGTCCCAAAAATAAATAAACATTGAAAAAAAAAAAAATTAAAAAAAAAAAAAGAATGACCCTAGAATACTACACAAGAAATATGGACAAGAAAATGAGATAAAAATGGTTTACAACCTCTCATGTTAACATCTCACCACCAAACTGGTGTTGAAACTATGACCAATAATCTGAAAACATCTGACAATCAAAACATTTAATTCAGTTCATATTAATAAATATTTAGTGTCTATGATATGACAGGTCCTGGGAATACAATGATGAATAAAAAAACTTCCTATTTAAACTCTGAAACTTAAAGTCTCATAGTGAGGCAAACTTAAGAAAATATCAATCAACTATGATTAGCATAAAAAAGAGAGGTATGTAGGAGGCAATAAGGGAGCATACTGGAAGGGCACTTGGTCCTGTGTGGAGGTAGAATGAAAGCTTCTTATAAGAGACAACAACACATCTGCATCTTAAAAGTGAGGAAACAATATGATCATTTTAAAGGCACGGAAAAGAGCTGTTTTTTTAAGCCTGTGAACTTTACTCTGAAGCATAGGAATGATGTTAACACAGAGGAAATAACCTATTGTTAAGCTCTTCTGACTTACAAATTAAATCAAGGTGGGTGAAAAAGACTGCTAGAAACAGATACTCTGAGAATCAGTGGTATAATGCCACTGATCAAAAAGAAACATAAGGCAGTTCATGAAACTGAAGCTATGGGCTTGACAGGTTCTGGGTGCATAGAGTAGCAAGGGAATTTATATCCTGCACAGACTATCGTCCAACATGACAGAGGAAACTGGAGTTAGGCCATTAGAACCAGGAGCTTCAATTCTCTCTCAAAGAGTCTCAAAAGGGTGGCAAAACATTATCATCTGGAGCTGTAGCTTCTTGAGAAAGGCGAGAGGAAGCAGACACAGACTGACAGCTAGGCCCTGAGTCAAAAAGCAGTTAGCATAGTCACTGGTTATAACATTTTCCACAGAGCCCTCAGGTGCTACTTTATTTATTTATTTTTTTATTTATATATGAAATTTATTCTCAAATTGGTTTCCATACAACACCCAGTGCTCATCCCAAAAGGTGCCCTCCTCAATACCCATCACCCACCCTCTCCTCCCTCCCACCCCCTATCAACCCTTAGTTTGT